GCTTTCCTTCCATTCAACCATTGCTTTTAAATACCCCTTATATAGCTCTTCTCTGCGCAGTATCGGTAAGCAGATAAAACAGACTTGCTCCAGTAAGATGAAATGTTCAAAAAGAAAAGGTGCTGCAAGATGCGAATTAAATAACGGTCACGGGTCAAAGTAATTTTCCTTTTGATAATGGCTGTGTTAGTCATGGACGAGTGTTCTCGGGGATTAGTTTCTCAGCGAAAATGAGCAAAATTACTCCGCGGTTTTCATGTGTGGTGTTAAAGACCTAAATCTTCTCATTTTTAATGCAAAAAATTGGAGGAAATTTCACCCGAAAGTGTGATATGTGAAGCAAAGTTCACATTGAGCTTAGTGCACCACTTCCTGACTCTACTGATACTCCGCTAGGCAAATTCAAGAACTAAAAGCTTATATAGGCAGTAGTTATTTTTAAGCTTTCTCTGAGTGCTTCTTTAATTTGTCTTCACGTTGTAGGACTCTGGTATTTTTATTTATAGTTTGACAGAGGTACTAAATTTTAAAATGGGTCTGGGAGAAATTTCCTATTTAAAATGGTCTTACTTTTTTCTCGCAGATGGGAAGGTTGAAGTGACGAAAGAAGGTGTGAAGTTGTGCACCATGGGACCTGGCAAAGTATTCGGGGAGTTAGCCATCCTCTACAATTGCACCCGGACAGCAACTGTCAAAAGTAAGTTTGTTTTTGAACTTACATACTGAATTCCTTAGGATTTTAATATTAGGCTTATTAATTCTAGTTAGCTGGCTGCATAAACGTTCGTATGCGAAACCATATAAAAATACTTCAGCTTTATTAATCTGGTCCTGGTTTTCCAAAGCACGCTATGGTGATGTTGAACTGAAGGTCGGTACTTAGAAATGTATTTCTTTCTTTGGACCTTGGTCAAGTTGCTGTTCACTCTCCCAACTTGAAGACGTTTTGTTTCAGTTAATTTTCTGCTGTCAGTAGCCGAGCCCCTCAATACCACTTTCCCCTGAAAGAGCTTAATCTCCCAGAAATGGTGGGAGGAACATTTTTCACGCATAGGGAAATAAGAGTGGAGGAGAGCTCATCACTTCAGGCTTTTGTTTCTTCAACCTGGGAGGCTTCAGTGTGATTCCTTGCCTTACCATCGACTTCTTTTTGCATCCCAAGCAGCTTCTTCCAGGAAAAGAGACGATGTCTACCAAGGTTAGCACTAGCTGGGGGAAGCTCATTAACTCCGTAATCAGTAAAAAAGGAGAGAGAGTGAGGCTTTGCTAGGCACCTGCCCTAATGTACTGTCCTCTAGAGGAGACTTGTGTCTTTCTTCTTGATGGGTTTCCCTGGTTAGTTTCTGTGAACATCTCTATCAGACTTCTAACGTCTCAGTTCTCCCTAAACGAAACTGGAACTAGTAGCCGCTTCTAACATCTCGAGCATATTGGACATCCGTAAGTATTACAAATTGTCAAGAACTCTCCACGTGTCAATCCAGGCCAGGAGGGCAAGGTAAGGGAGATGTACCACATGGCCGCCACAGATGTTGGAAACTTGTATAATTTTCCATGAAAGGTTGACGTATGGCTGCATTTGTCTTCAGTCTCCATGTTGCATTCCTAATCTGCTGTACACTCTCAGGCCACCTGTAGGGATGAATCATAAATGATCTGACTGGGTAGGAGTTTTCTCTGAGCCACGATGGGTAGGGATACGACCAAGATGAGTATGTTGCTGAAGCATATCTTGTCCTTTTGAGTTGAGTCTTTAAGAGGAACTCTTATGTATTTCTTAGCCGACTAAATGGGCAGAATCGGAGGGGAAAAAAAGGGGGATCAAGGATTCCCTGCTAAAAGTCTTTAGCAATTCTCCAGTAACTACTGTCTTCTATGAATGTTGTGAGCGCAAGCATGGGTTACACAATACGTGGAGGGAAATCACATTACCATGTAGAACAGAAACATATTTTCATTTAAATTCAGCTTATAAAGAGTTGAGAATCGGGATGCGTGGTATCGCAGTTCATGACCTTGAGGTCCAGAGCTGCCAATGACATCTTAAGCAGAGAGGTTTTATGTGAGAAGAGAAATAGTTCTGTGGTTTAAAGACACTGTAGTGGAGGAGTTAGAAGGAAGCAGATGGGATAGATGATGAGGATAATACAGAGACACAGAAGTACTATCAAAATGAGGCATGAGTCCCCATTCAGAAGAAAAAGTCTTTTAAAAGTATCTAATTAGAAAAAAAGTAAGAGAAGAAATAGGCAGAAATGTCAAGACAGGAAAAGATAACTAGATGTTCTTGCAAGGAACATGCTTCTCCATAATCCCAAAGAACTTGACTGAGGGACTCTGTTTTCACCTGTGTAAACTTCATCTCTTTAAAAATGCTAACTGGCTAACCCACAGGCAGTTCATCGGCAGCTCAGTTTATACTTCCAAGAAATCCGTAATCCCAGATATTGCAATTTTAGTTAGGTGTGCCAAACGTGCACGTTGTACAAGTCATGTGTAGCCCCAGCGAGGAGAGCATGTGTACAGAGCCACAGCACCGGAGACCTCAGGGCTGCTTCAGCCACGGTGTATTGGGTGCTTTTATGAGACACTTTATCTCCCTCTCACATTAGTCTGCTGGGAAACGAAGGGGACCGTGGCTACGAACGGGAAGCAGGTATTGATCTACTCCATCCTGCCCGTACTTGCCTTCCCTGTAGGTGCGTTATCCATGTAGAGGTATAGTCTATGTCTCTGTCTGAGTAAAATTTTGGAGGATTGGTGGTGATGTGGAATTCACGGAAGTCTCAAGCTCTTGTTATGATACAGTTAAAGGAAATGGGAAGGAGAAGGGAAAGAGGGGAGATGCTAGATTCCTAGGAAAAGAAATGAGAGCGTGATTATTGTTTCTTTCCTGTTAGAAATACAGAGCCAAAAGGGACCCGATTCCTGGTGCTGTGAGCACTACCTCATATAACGCTGTGTAGTCATACTGTTTCTGCATAATGCTTGTTTTCATCCCATTCCTACCAGTGAATTGAATAGGAAATAATCCTGCCAGCAGCTTTTACCATCAGCTTTACTATTACTGCTTTTTTTCATATGTTTTCACGAGCCATCACTTCCAGATTGTGACTTGATACTTGGTTTTACTTTTCTCCTGGTTAAATCAGGGGCAGTGGTAGGGTTGCTACTATAACCATCCTCAGAGAGACCTTTCTTCACGGAAGAGGGGGCTGCGTTTGTTTGTTATACTCTATTGCTTGCCCACTGGTGTCGTAAAATTGGGATAATATGCACCGTCTTCTGCAGGCAGCTGTTGGGCATGTACGCTTGCTTACCATGCTAGAGGTCGTCAAGTCTGAGGACAGCTTTTAGCTTCACCAGCTTTATTTTGGGAGAAGTAAATAATTGATAAGTGTGATGAAAATAGACACCCAATCAACCCTATCGCTGGAGGCGGTGAAGGATGTATCAAGGGGCATCATCCAACCATCATTTACAGGAACACTTTAAGTCAGGACTTCCCAGTTTTCAGGAGATGGGTTTCCACTACCTTTACAGTGTCAGAAGTTGCCTGCCAGTACTTCGTTACAAGGACTTTAAGTGTTTCTTTTTAAAAGATGACGTTCCAGCAAAGACTGAAGGAAGAATGCTTTGCGGTTCTGTGAAGTTCAGCAATGCCTTTGGGCCATGACAATGTGTCAGCCGCGTTGACATCGCATTGCTGTAATGGGTTCGTATGTGTACTGTTGCTTTGGCTTTGTAAATAATAAAGTTCTAATATCGTTACTCACGGCATTAGTCTATGTTGGCTCTTCAGCTGAGGCTCCCTCTGTGGGAGACTGCAAATTTAAGGGCATATATCACTCTAGGAAGAACTTTGTCTTCAAAAAATAATTTAAGAGAGCTTGAATTTTAATTATTCTTATCTGAGTCCTTCTTGGTTCATTTTGACCTCTCTTAATGAGAGACCATGCAGGTCTTTTGAAAGCTTGTTCTAAGAGAACGATTATAATACTTTTGCAGTCTGTATTATTACATTCTTAAGTAAAAGTAGGAGAGGTGTACAGGTCTGAGAAGAAAGAGCTTCTGAATGCCCAAGGGTTTCTCCTGATCTCAGTGAGGAAGGTAGGGCCGCATCGCATGAATAAGTGGTTTGCTGTTTAAGACAGCTACTACAAAGTTTTTGACACCTTATTATTGGCTGCTAATTTGAAGCTTTTGCTTTCCATTCTCAAACGTTACTGCAAGGAGAAATTTTCTTTTTTTTTCCCTCCGATGAAGATTTTTCACTCTCTTGCTCCAAGTAAGTCATTGTCATGGCTTTCTCAAGTGCTCCTGTTGCTCACAGATCCACTTCCGTTACATATCCAGCAATGGAAATGGAAATCAGCAGCTAGATTTTTCCTGTACCTGTGGTTGATCCAGGGCTCTCAAATGGCCCAAAGGGAATATTTGAGGCTGCTCACAGCTTAAGAGGAGAGTCACAGACTTTCTACAGCCTGATTCTAACAAATAATTTTATTCAGTGTATTAGAATAAGGAGAAGGCAACTTCACTTATTTGTTATTAAAAATGAATGATTTCATAGCTAAAATGCTGTCTTTAATCCTCTGGGAGAGTAATAAACTCTAGATATGTCTGCTTACCCGTATATCCCAAATTGCCGTTGTCTCCTCTTGGAGGAAACAAGTTCAGTGCCTTAAAATGGTAAAAGCCGTAAACTAGGTTTTCAGATCACTCAGAAATCACATTGTTGACTCAGTGTGTGACCTGAGTACTAAAAATATACTGGGTTTCGGGTTGGGTTTTTTATACTTCTGTTCTGGCTAGCTGTCTTCTCCCCACCGCATGTGCAGGTTAATACTAGGCTGAACGCTAGCGTGTCTGAAATCTCCCTGTCCATCTAGTGCTAGTGCCGAGGCCAATGGCAGCATGGGGATAATTTGCCACAGTTGCAGTCCGTCGTCCTAGCGCGGGAGTCCAGTTGGGTTAAAGGATGCTGGAAAAGTCCTGTGGAAAGTTGCCGAGTTAATTAGGAATCTTTCCTGTACGCTGAAGAAAGTTTGTCTTGCACCTTTCCAAGCAAATGGGATTTTCAAGTGCATTATTGCAAGAACCTGAAGGAAGCGAAAAGATACATAAGACCTTGAAAGTGATGTTGTGCATTAGTATAGGGGGACTGTCTGGTAAGTCAAAAAAAGAGGGGGAAAAAAAAAGAAAAAAAGACCCTGCCCAGAGAATTCAAGTTGTATGTACAATTTTTTAATTCAGCATTTGATAAGCCAGAAGATCTGTTTAGTAAATGAAAATTCATCCACTGTTAATAATATGCAGTAGTTCTCATTACTTGTAATGAATAATTTGATGAATAGCATTTAGTATTATTATTGCAAGCAGTTTAGGGGAATACTATAATTTTGTGAGAGGAATGAGTTCCAAAATTGTGTACATTCAGGGGCAGAATTCAAATAAAAAAACTTCTCACAAAAGAAAAATCTCAATAAAATGCTGTCAGCCTCAGTGGAGTTATGCACAAGACTCCCAGTCTGTGTTTTCAGGGAAATAATAAGAATGAAAAAAGAAAGCACAAACTGCGGTTGTTAACCTGTAAATTATGTAAATCTCTTTTTTTTTTTTTTTTGTTAAAACTTAGGCGTGTCTCCTCAAACACTAGCACCAGAGTTGCTAAGCTGCTGTGCCTGTCAGCAGTGC